ATAAAGCACAATCATACTCAGTTTTGCTCCCGCTCTATTTTTCTACCTGAAAACTTAATTCAACAGCAGCCTCTGGGCCGGGCCGCCTCCGGTTTCACCGCGGCGGCTGGCAGGTGTTTTTTCATCTAAATAATCTAAATCTTGCAGCTATATTTGCTGTGATCAGTGGGAATAAAGTAGTTTTAATATGTTTTTAAGTGAGAAAGTCCACCTGAAAACTTCATAATTGCAGTCAGTTCATCCAGATTATCATCCTGCCTACTATTTCTGTCGGAGGCGCAGAATTGCCACAACGAAACCAACTCCAGACTTTGATGCACTGGCAAAAAAAGGAGAACAACAACACTGTTCCCACTGAAATGTGAGTTTTTCCACTGTGTTATGAAAAAAATAGCAACTTGCGCATTTACGCACGGCAGCGGTACAGTAGCTTAATTAACATGCCGCACATCGCTCTCATTTTAAAGACCCCTTCCTTTCGTTGGGTAATAATATCTTCTGAATGTTGAAAGTGATTCCATTGATTTTTTTTCCCCACTAAATGCTAATTTCTTTAAATTTGTCTGTTTTTTTTTTTTATACATTTCAATCCCCAGGTTTAATAAATTAGATTGCTTGTCCAAATGCTCCTGGCCCGGCCCTTCTGTCAAATTTTAGAACCCATTCTGGCCTGCAAGTCAAAAAGTTTGCCCACCCCTGGCATAGTAGCATGGACGATGAGATGATTGAAAATGAACACAACGGAGATCTAGTCCTATTGGCAGACATCCAGTTAAAATGTAGGCAACAGCATGAAAAAAGTGGTTTCTACTTTTACTTTTATACTTTAAGTAAATTTACAAGCCTGTACTTTGTTACTTTTACTTGAGTAAAGAAGTTTAATCAGTACTTCCACTTTCACCAGACTATTTTTTAACACAAGTATCTGTACTTTTACTCAAGTACGGAAAGTGAGTACTTTTGCCATCTCTGCTTTTGGCATTACAGGGTTAAGGAAGCAAAGGGGATCAGAAGCAATGCTGACGTTGCTGCTTTCCCTCTGAACAGGTTAGTAAATGTTTTCATCTCTTCACCTCATCCCAGAGCCCACCTCTGTCTGCTCTAACATCATGTTTCTATATCTGTGAAATAAATATCTCACTTTTCCTCCTCCCTCTATCATGTTATTTGTGATTCAAACGCATCAACCTGATAAAGGAAGTGGAGAAACAGAGATTGTTCTGGATTCGGTCGTACCCTTTAATAACGGCATCATCCAGGCCTGAAATAGGCTGATGGGTGCTCCTAGGGTTCAGTGCCATCCTGGTTCTGAATGGGCTGGATCCACTCCACAGCCCACTGCACCCCACAAGCCTGTGTGGGAGTGGGCGGCTCACAGACTGAAACCTGAATGTCAGATCACAGCGCTGATGAATCACAGGCAGTGAGGAGGAGGAGGCTGGGGATGAAGGCTAAACCAGAGAGATTGTTAGGAGATGTAGGTGTGTGAGTGTGCGGCCTGCCCAACAAACCCACCTGCTGTCCTGCCTACCTGATGACCCCCCCACTGAGCCCTATGAGCAGGAATAAAATGTCTCGATATATAGATCTCACCTCTGCTGTCATCTTAATGAAGTAAAGGCTCTAATATTAAGAAAAGGGCTGATATAAAACTCTGCTCTGCCTTCAGATAATAAAACCATCCTCTGCTTTGTGCCTTTCGTTCTGCTCCACTGTGTTGGTTTCATTTCTAAGCCACTGATTAAAGTCAGCTGTCCTCACACTGATAGACAAACAGATGTTTCTATGAATTATACAAATGTTCCCATCTGAGATGCCTTCAGGCGAAATATGTTTGATTAAAGATGCTTCTGTAAAACAAAAGAAGAAGACTAAAGCATCTTTCCCGCTGAAAATAGCGGGTTAACTCTTGTTTTTCAAACAGGAGTCGACCCGCTAACAATCAGCACTAGGCTCCTTTCCCACTGGCAAATAAAGCTGGTTTTAAAGGTGAGAATATAATTCTGGCCTCATTCTGACTGGATATTTCTCTATAGGTATTCTGCTATAGGCTTGGACTGCTGGAGGACATAGGGACCCCTTTTTCATCATTCTGCTTCATTCTATCTCTATTCTCCCACTCTGCAGAATCTGTTAGTTCAATCTCTAACGTTCTGCTCTCTCTGCTTTTTCTCATAGTAGCTTCATCTGGTCTGTTCCTGTTTGGCTGTGACTCCATCCTGGAGAGAAATATCAGCTGTGCTGCTGCCATCAACACCTTTGTTTCTAGATGTTGGAGCTTGGCCTGTTTTCCAGTGTAGTCCTGTTTCTCTGACTGTGACTAACTGGATGTGCTCTCTTCATCCTCTGACATGGGAGCTGGCTCGGAGCTCGTCTGCCTGGCTGTGTGTTTCCTGGACGGGGCCGCCTGTGGAGCTGGTTGACAGTTGCCTTTTGTATCTATGCTTCTTTTTCTATGTCTGCTTCTGTCTCCTTGAACCCCAGTGGGCCTCAGCAGATGGCCGCTCACACTGAGCCTGGTTCTGCTGGAGGTTTCTTCCTGTTCAAAGGGAGTTTTTCCTCTCCACTGTCGCTACAAGCATGCTTAGTGTGAGGGATTGCTGAAGAGTCAATGAGTCGATGCAATCAGCTGGTTTTCCTTAGAAAGAAAACTTTGAATCAATCTGACTGGATGATCTGGTGAACTGGAAAGTGACCTGAGATGACATGATGGGAATTGGAGCTATAGAAATAAACTGAATAGAATTGAATATCTGACCTTTGGTCTGAAATGGTAGGTTGAGATCATTTGTCGTGTTTGAACTTTCAGATGTAGTAAAACAGAGCCTCACCACCATGCCACCACCACCATGCCTGACAGTGTAAGCTGTGTTCTTTGGTTAACCAAAACGCCGAGGTGACGCAGCTAAAGCTCAGAAGTTGTCTGTAAACTCTGTCCGTATGTAAGGACTGAATATATAAAAGGATATTCTCATTTTGTCATTTGTCTCTGAATCCAGATACTCGTTTCAACATGATCGCGCTTTCCGCTCAGACAGAAACATGGATGTATGTTTTCAGCCGATTAGGAGCTAATTGCTGGGATTGAATCCTGACAGTGGAGTTAATGGATTGTCCCGCTGACAGTGGGAATGTTTCTGTTGCTCCAGCTGAGACCAAAGACGCCTCATTGATTTTCACTAACAGTCTGCAGTCGACTGGAACCATCTGATGTGACAATCGGAACGAAACGAGTGTGTTTCTGTGTAACCGCTTTATTATTCAACCTTCTCCAGCAGCCTCACATCGTCTGTCTTATCTCAACGTCGCCCAAAACAAGAGCCTCATTCAAAGAGCTGCAGATCGTGAGGAGCTGAGATGTGTGGGATTCCCTCCACTCACCAGAAATGGCAAAGTGGCTCCATCCCACTCATATCCACTGGTTCCCACTCAGCAGTGAGCCACACACATTTAGCAGGCGATAAAATGTGAGCAAGTTAAAAGAAATTTTTAAAAACTCTGGAGGAGAATCATCTCTCCTGCTGTGGTGTTGAGCATCCATCCTGATCCGAAGGACCGAACCAGAACCAGGATCTGACTGCAGAAACACATGAAGGAACATCAGAGGACGCTGCAGTGATTATTTCCACGGTGAACTGGTTCTGGCGGCCTGAAGCTGGGCTTCAGTGGAACACAACTTCAGACGCTGGAGTTCCGTCATTCCACTGCTCTTAAAAAGTTTTCTGAAATAATAATAATAGAATTATGATTCAGAATCTCCACCTAACGAGTTGCGTTAACTACAAAGGTATAAACTAAATGAAAGGGTGTTTTTTATTTAGCATCGACAAAACAAACTAACAAACATCAACTTTTTGTTTTGATTTTAATATTCAGCTCTAAAAATAAAATAAACCATTTCCTTGTTATTTTTAAGGAAAGCTGTGTCTACAACCTGAAGCTGTCTCTCTCCAGTTCTTTTCACTCTGGACAAACCTTTTAAATAAAACTTCATAATGTCAATTTATAAAATAACCAGGAGACATGACAACAGATTTGTACAGAAATGATGATCTTAACCAGAATAAAGAGGTTGCTTAGAGTCGCAGAAAGCAGATAAAGATAAACTGCTCTGGAAAACCTCAGTTCAGACACGCCACAGGCAGGTATTATTAGGGTTTAATAGACTCACACATCATTAATAAGAATAGTCCTAACATTATTTATTTTAAATGCAGCTGAAATTTGTTTGAAAGCCAGATTTCTCTACATGAAATACAAGCTTTAGAAAAGTCCTTTAACAGAAAACATTTTCCTGTTGAGTAAATAATCGGAATTAGAATTTATTTAAAAGCCGAGTCGAGCAAATAAAACAGTAATTCATTTTAAAATATAGATTTTAAAATAAAATAATAATTCATATATTTAGACTTAAACTTAGACTCAACTTTATGTATTCATTGGGTTATTTCTTCACGGAAATTCTGGTTCCAGTAGCTTAAATAAAGCACAAAGAGTTAAAGCAAGATGCCATTAAAGATAAAAATACAACAGACAATATAAAAAGAGTGCATTTAGTACAAAAAAAGCATAAAAAGTGTAACATCCTGAAATATGTTTCCTTTAGATATAAAAATATCTGCACAGCAGAGAGAGATAAGGGAAGACTGGATTATTGCACTTGGACTGCAGAGATGGACTGACCTTATAAATAAGTAAAAATTAAACAGGCTACACAGTAGTTGGCCTGAGTTATTGCACAGGGAGAGAGAAGAATATTGCACAGCAGATAATGTTTAGCATAAGATGTCCAAGGAGGGGGGTGCTGACCCTATTTGATTTGATTGAAGTTGTAGTCTGTTTATTTTTGTTGTGAAACGAAACTCAAAATGTGTCCTTCTGATCCCAACTTCCACAAAAGATTAAATAATTCAGTTAAATCAGAATAACCGGGTTTGAAACGTCCTCTAAATCATGTCTCCCTCCTCATCATCCTTAGGGTTCCTTTTTCCCAGCGGTCCATGAAGGCAGCGCCAGGGACTCCGCCTCTGCGCTGCTGCCTGGCCGCTGATTGGCTGGGTGGGGATCCGCGTGGGCGCAGCGGAGGACTGTCCTATAAAAGCCGGGATCCCACGGACAGACGCGCTCGTGTCGTGTTCCCTCCATCACTAGCAGCTCGGAAGAGGACCGTGGACCCCCCCACTCCCACTGACGCTCCACGCAGGATGTCTCGGACCGACGAAGTGCACCGAATCACGGAGAATGTCTACAAGGTGAGCCGCTTCGGTCCGGTTCAGTCCGGTTCGGTCCGGGACCCCTGCTGTAGCTGAGAGTCTGGAAACATTATGAAGTTTGATTTGTTTTAATAATTAAAAAGCCTCGTTCAGAAATAATAAATAGAAAAACGTGTTCTGTTGTAGAAATGTGGATAAAATGTTAAAGTTATCAGGAATGTTTGGAGCATCTGAACCTGAGGAGGAAACTGATCCTGAGATGTTGGATCGGTTCTGAAACACCAGAGTCAACCGAACCAACCCTGATGATGATGATGATGATGATGATGATAGAGGCTTCAGACATGTGAGCCCCCAGACTGGATCCTGGGGGCCAGTTTGGGCCCCAGTGGGAGGAGAAATGCTGGTCTGTGTTCTCCTCCTCAGGTGGTTGGTTGGCAGAGGAACGGTTCTGTAATCTGATCTAATTATTCTGGTTCTATCAGAACCCAGAGGCGTGGAAATGCTTCAGTGGGGGCCCGGTCAGCGTGGGGCCCCTGATGCTCTGACCTTTGGACACTTTTAGGGACAGAGATGCTGAGGAGGTGCTGCTCTGATGAAGATGGAGCAGCAGGTGGAGCAGGCTGGGCTCCCAGGCTGTAATTGCAGCCGCCTGATTGGCTGGTTGGGCTTTGAACCGGACGCAGATAAATGAGCAGTGGGCGTGAAGAAAAGGATTTATATAGCACCTTTAACAGACGTAGAGGTCACAAAGGTCTTCACAAAATTACAATACAAATAAAACATTTACAGTCACAGAAGACAGGGTCATAAAACTACCCTCATCTGGATCCAAAAAACAGTTCTAGGAACTGGACCCGTCCATCATCAGTACCACAGCCGCCTCCTCCGGATCAGCGCAGCGGATCTACAGAAAGCTGATGTATGAAGGAGATTTAGGAAATACATTTCATAAAAATAGATGCTTTCATTTCATAAAATTTCAATCCAGTTGAACAAATCAAATTGAACTGGGGGGGGGGGGGGGGGGGGGGGGGTCTTCCTGTTATTGACAGGCTGCTTCATCCAGCAGAGCTGCTCACAGTTTGACCGCCTGCTGCTCTCAGGCTGGAATATTGACAGAAGAAAACATTTTTTTTAAATCTTAAATGCAAAATGTTGACATATTTTTTTACGATGTTGGAATAATTCCTGCTCTAAGTGGGTCACTCTGTCAGCTGAAGGCGTATTTTACAGTCTCTATACTCCACTTAACAATTAATCAATTACTTTATTAGTTGATGATTATTTCAATAATCGATTAATCTGATTGTTTTATCCAAAAGCTTAATTAACCAGTTATTAAGGCCCTGTTTCTGGGACAAGCAGGTGCTGATTATGGCTCTACCAGCAGCTCCGTCAACCGGTTGATACTTTATTTATTTATTATTGTTGCCTGCATAGATTCACCGAATCCTTCATCCAATCAGCAGCCTCTCCTTCAGGTCAGCTGACCCTCATGCTTAGCTGAGAAAGTTTCATTGTTTTTTTTTTTCATGTAAACCGAGCAGGAAAAAGCCACCAGAATCGTCCCAAAGAACCTGCAGCACATCGGATCAGTTCTGCTACGTTCAGACCGAAGCAGCAGGAGCAGCAGAAACGCGCGTCCTGCTTCATTTTTGATGCTTCTACCAGTTTAGTTCTGAAGCGCGGCTGAAGCATCTCTGCTGCTCTAGCTGCGCGGTGGTAAAGTGGGTCTGATGCGTGTTGGGCGGAGCTACCCTATCCTTTCTTTCGGCGGTGCGCTGTCACTGGGAATCCCCAGCAGCAGCTGCCTCAGGCCCGCTCGCCTCTCCAGGGTTTTCCCCTCCTGTTGGTGGAGCTGGAAGTAGATGTTAGCGTTTTTCAGGTCTGTGCTACAAACTGCAGGCAGCAGGATAATAAAAGCCAACATATTCTGCTGGCAGGTTTCTACATTTGAAGTTAATTTAGGCGTTAATAAACTGTTTCAGAGGAGTGATCATAGCGCTCTGCATCAGCAGTGCTGCGTCTGACTCCCTGCCAGCTCCCAGATCAGCTTCTCTCATTGGTCGATGCGGCGCGTCCAGCAGCTAAAGTTAATTTTTTCCACTCCAGCAGCTGCTGCTCCTGAAGCTTGATGCTCAGATGCTCATGATGCGCTGCTCCTGCTGCTCCTGCTGCTCTAGACGCTGCAGGACCTTCTGCTGCGCCTGGATGCTCGCCAACCTTTGACATTGCATGTAAACTGGCTGCTTCTGCTGCTGAACGTAGCATTACACAGGAAATAATCCAACTTTAAACCATCGGTTTATAGCTACACTGCAAAAACGATGTAGAAATAAGCCAAAATGTCTTAAATTAGGTGTATTTACCGTTGATTTGAGTAGGTTGATAAGATGATTTGCCAATGGAATGAGAATTGTTACTCTTAAAATAAGGTAATTAGATAATATACACTTGAAATAAGACAATGAAATAGTTTTTTTCTTATTTTAAATGTAAATTGCCTCGTTCCATTGGCAAAGTGTCTCACTTACCTCCTCAATTCAAGAAAAAACAATTATTTTAAGAAAAAAATGTCTTATCTAGATATCGATTTTTCCCACTGTAGGCGACTTTATCTGACTGATGGCTGGTTAACGTTTTTAAAGTTTTAGAGGGAGATACCTGAAGTTCTGCTCGCAAAGAAAGCCTGAAAGACAAAGAAATTAACGGATAATGTCCAACCCCCCCCCCCCCCCATTGGAACATTAACAGCTAGAAGAAGAAATGACTGAACCTCCTCCTGCTGAAACAGAAGCTGAATGTAAATTTACGATGACTCACAGGGTGACTGTGTGTGGGGGCAGTCTGCACTGACGTGTGTGTATGGGGGTGGGTGGGGGGGTCCTGTAGCCTGCAGCAGTTGGCTCTGAAGCTGCTCTGTGACACGCTGCTTCAGATGGCTCCAGTTGGCCCCTGAGGACCGGCCCCTGCTGAGGGGATGCGACGCTGAGGGTAAAGTGTCTCCGCAGGTCGAACCACCGGCGTCTGCGCGTCGTTCAGCTGAGCGCTGTAATCCCAGCAGTGCTGCGGCTCAGGTTGATGAATAAAGCTCAGAGTGACGCTGCCTCCATTGTTCCCACGGATTAAAGGAACATCAGCAGGTCGGCTCATTGATTCCAGAGCTTTCTCTGCTCAGGGTTTAGCTTTTCACTCAGTTCTTACCTTCATGTTCAGATAAAGGTTTCCTGTAGATGTTCTCTCTAAAAACTGATCAGAACCTGGAACAGCAGCTTCCTGTTGAATGTCCTGACTGGTAGCATCTGATGGATCTGTTATCTAATCATCTGGGGACCTTCTGAAGCTGGTCGGGTCAAAGCTTCAGATGAAGGTTTTTCAGCCATAAAGACCTGGACCTGAAGCTGCATGGACCCGTCAGTCCTCAGACACCTTCTCCAGCTGGTTCATTCTGGCCTCCATCGTCTGCGGCTGTGGAATGTTCCAACTCCGGCCAGGTTGGAACATTCCAGCCATTTGACCTGTTCTTTCCTTCTCCTGTCCTCCACACAACTTGTCATTCTAGTTTGTAATCTAGAGCTTTCAGTGACGAGCTAAAGTCCGATCTGAGATTTTTGCCGTTGCGTTAAAAAATTGCTACTCGATGTTGTGACTTCCGTCCCCCCCGGTCTGCCTGGTCTAGACTTAAAGGAATAGTACACCCAAAACATGATTAGCCTTCATTTTCTACTCACCCCCATGCTGAACAACACTCTGGAGTACTTTTTTGATATCTCAAATGCATCTGGAGATCTGGGAGGCTTCTTGCTGTCTGCTGACATTCAAATAATGGAGGTCTATGGTGCCCGAGGCAGAAAGGTCCATAAAAGTCCACAAAAAACGTGTCAATATTCCTCCATACTGCTCGTCCAATGTAATCCAAGTGTCCTGAGTGGGTAGCATCCAGAATTTACTCGAAACGAAGTCATTTAGAACGTTTTTAGAGCATAAACAGTAGTGTATAGGATTTCCTAAAAGCGCGTTCACGATTCTATGGAAGCCGGCAGACCAAACCAGCGCATTCAGCTCGGCAAAGAACTCATGCTCTTCCTCAACACTGAAGTCCTCAGACATTTTTCTTTCGTTGTTTCTTTCTTTGCACAGGTAAACAGCACATTTCTTCTTCTACGCTTGCATTATTGGCAGAGCAGACGCTGAATGCGCACTTTCATCTGATTTGGTCTGCCGGCTTCCGTAGCCTCGTGATCGCGCATGTGCGCGCTTTCAGGAAATCCTATACACTACTGTTTATGCTCTAAAAACATTCTAAATGACTTCGTTTCGAGTAAATTCTGGACGCTACCCACTCAGGACACTTGGAATACATTGGACGAGCAGTATGGAGGAATATTGACACGTTTTTTGTGGACTTTTATGGACCTTTCTGCCTCGGTCGCCATAGACCTCCATTATTTGAATGTCAGCAGACAGCAAGAAGCCTCCCAGATCTCCAGATGCATTTGAGATATCACAAAAGTACTCCAGAGTGTTGTTCAGCATGGGGGGGGAGTAGAAAATGAAGGCTAATCATGTTTTGGGTGTACTATTCCTTTAATGCTGTCGTATAAAACGGGTTCCAAAAAAGTTAAAAATCAATCCGCTGGACTTTGTCTCCAAGTTTGAAGACGTTTCTCTTCCATCCAGGAAGATTTTTCAATCCAAAATGTCAGAAATAGCGTTTAGTTCCAGGTTTTATCCAGCAGCCCAACAAAGCCTGGTTTTAGTTTAGAAAACATGCAAATAGAAACGGATGAACGGGTCCCCCCCTTTGGAATGGGGGTCGTTTGGCTTCTTTGTTAGCCTGCAATGCCCCATACCTGTCTATGTCTCTGAAAGGGGGATCATTAGAGGGAATTGTTGGTCTGGCTGAACGAGCGAGGTCCTCCGCTCTGCTATACAGGGGTTGCGATGATGGTGGGGGGGAATTAACTCTATCGCTGAAATCTGAGTCTGTTTGGTTTGAAATGTTCTGGGATTTTGTGTTTGGAGAAAATCCTCTT